GAGTCCCACAGTTATTTTAGCAATATGTAAAGCCCTTAGATAATTGTCTTAAAAAGAAACATGAATTGTGTACATGATTAGTCCCTTCCCCACCCTGTCATACATATGATGCAGATGAGAAAGTTTGGCTGATGCTGTATGTAATTATGTATGTGTATAGAAATTGACATTGTTGCATTAACACAAGGACAGTCTCATGTTAAACTTTCATTATTCAAATTGTTTTCTACTTGCCTGAACTGGGGCTCTTTTCATTTTCTAGGTGTTGTAAAAATTGAAGTATGACTTGAATTATGCACCCTGAATGATGTCTTGGCCTAGCACCACACTTGAGATGGATTTGTGGGTTTTATTCATGTATCAAAGTGTATGTTATTTGAGTTCTGAACAACATTCCTAACACAGGGGTAGACGTGTGAGGGGTAAGAGGAGATGTGTGGGGAAAATCCAAAGATGTACATGACAGTTTTTGACTATGCGTGACCTTTTCTAGAATTTTATCTTCAAATAAAAGATGGGTGTTTTTTAAAGTAACTTTGTTAACCTCCAGGGACACAGATTATCAGCTCCAACTCACGCCATTGCTTCTGAGCACTTGGTGTCTCATAAGTCTTGGCTGTTCTGGGAGGTCCTGGCCAGGCCAAAGTGATTCGTCTACTTACTGTCTCACAGCCAAGCCCAGCTGACACCAGCCAAGCCCAGATGACACCATACATGCATTGCACTTCACCTTCTCAGCGGTCACAGACCAAGCCAAAAAGAAGCTGCTCCTGTGGTCTGTGCAGTCAGCCCTGCTGCAAAGCCTGCCTGGTCTTCCCAGCTCCCTCTGCCTGTTCTCCTGGAGCTTGCACTCAGAACAGCTCTCTGGGTCCCTGCCAGAAATTTGCATCACAAAGGCCAAAGAGGCCAACCTTTCTGGGCTTTGTCAGAGTTTGTGTGGCAGAAAATTCCCTAAATAGGATCTGCCTCCTCCTCACCCCTATTGCTTTCTCTCTGTTTCTTTGTCTATCACTCTGGTAATGAATGAGAAAGGGTCACACAGACCCATTTGAAGAAGAGATTATCTTCTACTGGTGAAAAGAATGCCATTCCTTGGGCTGAGGTGGGAGGTTTTTGGACACTGAACATCAGCCTTTCTAGAATAATTTCTCTTCTGGTCACATTTCTCCAAAAAATGAATATACTGGGGGTGGAGAGAGAGAGAGAGAGAGAGAGAGAGAGAGAGAGAGAGAGAAAGGGAGAGAGAAAGGGAGAATGGGAATGAAAGAAAGAGGAAGGAAGAGAAAGAGAGAGAGGAGAATGAGAATTCCGGTAGGACAACCTACAAACATCACAAACTTCTCCCTTCTCCGTATACGTAATCTGCAGCCAAAGTGAGGGTGCTCAAGTTGAGGAGTAAGAAACACTGTGACTCAGCACTGAATTATCTCAGCAGTCTGGTCAGGGAGAACTCTCCAAGGTCAGGGATGCTGAAGGAGGCAGAACACATATAAAAACTTTCAGGCCCCTGGCCAGAAAGTTATTTTGAAACTTTGCTATGATTGCTTTAAATATTACACGTGCACGCACACACACAATTTTATTTCAAAACGGCTTAAAACTTACAGAAAAGTTGCAAGAACAGAACAGAGAACTCCCATTTGTTCTTCTCTCTCAGAGACCCTATTCAAGTTTCAGTAGTTGTATCAGCTGCATCTTTTAATGGAAAGACTCGAACTCCAGGTAATGCCTTGCACCCAGTTTTCCTGTCTCCTCCTAGTTCTCCTTCAATCTAGAACTGTCTTCGGTTCTTTCTTTTCTTTTATGACTGGCATTTTAAAATTATAGTTCAGCCATTTTGTAGAATATCCTCTAATTTGGGTTTGTTAAAGGGAACTTCGTTAAAGGCAATTTTCAGAGAAAAGTAAAATCGTAACTCTCCTACAGATGTGAAAGTTGATTACACGAATTGGGTCATTCTTGTCAGTCCAATTAAATTAGAGTTGAGGGTCTGGGGGAAAAAGCACTTGGGGCACATATCACCAGCTTTAAGAATTTAATTTTCTGTAATCTTAATACCAGTTTTACTTAGTAGCTGCTAAAATGACCTGCCCTAACTCTTAAGACTGGTTTTACCTACCAATGTCATTCATCTATCAGGACTTGCCAGCTCTCTAGTGGTTCTCTAGTGCAAGTAATCTTCCCTTCAAAACAATGTAGAACATTTTTCTCTTTCTATTAAAACTCTCAGTCTTCTCTTTGTTCTTCGGACTTACCAAAGACCACACTGTCTGTATGTTTGCCCTGAATTGCAATTTTGTAATTCATAAATAAAATGTTTAATTTAGAGATCTGTCTCTAGATTACATTTGGATTTTGACATAGATATAGAAATGAAAATGTAGTGAAATATTTTATTTTAGTCATATGGTATAAGGGAACCAGGCAGATGTTATAGATTTAAAGGAAAAGTCAAAAGAGCATATATTTATGTGGAGCAAAGGAATGTTGAAATGAAACAAAACAGGTTTTCCACCAGCAGGGAAGAAGTCAATTCAAAATTCAATCACTGCCAGACGGGACTAAGATAGAGAGATAGATAGATAGATAGATAGATAGATAGATAGATAGATAGATTAGATAGATAGATAGATAGATAGATAGATAGATAGATAGACAGACAGAATTTCAAAGACAATAGCCCAGAAAGGTATATTATAGACACTGCTTAGTTTTCTATTGAATCATAAAACTTTGTTTTCTACAGGTTTGTCTAATGTTTTCTCATGACCCATACTGATGTCTTTGCCTTTATTTTTTTTCCATTGCTTCCTGTTGCTGACACATGACGTCTCCTTGCTTTACTTCTGGTGTTAACTTTGACCACTCAATTAAGATAGCATCTTCCAGGTGTTTCCACTATAACATGTCTCCCTACCTTTGCACTTAATTCATAAGAAATTGGTAGGGAGACATATTAAAACTATGAAAAATCCCATTACTCACCCGGATTTCACCTGCCGGTTTTAGCATTGACATTCCTTGTTTGAATTAATTATTACTCTGATGATTTCAAAGGGGAATTTTCTAATGGTATTATTTCTTCTGCATTTATTAGTTAGCTTTCTTTGGTATTAAGAGCTTTATTTTCTCCCTGTGCATTTATTCACTTACATGTTTATTTCCAGTGGGGAGCTGGAGTTGCCTCAAACTACTTACTATGAACCAGTTTGGCTCAAACTACTTACTGACAACTCTTTCTGGCTCTGCATTCATTGATGTCATGTTGGTATTTTAAATTGGTCATTGTGAGAGTAGTTACACCATGGAAATTGGAAAATATTTCTCTCAGATCAGTCTTTGTCTGAGATTTGTGTTTTCCCCTCAGAGATTCCGTTTCTAAACATCAGCTCATCGCTCTATATCAAGGTGGACTTATTTGTCCCTGTTTTATTCAGTGGACTATGACCTATCTCTGTATTATTTATTTTGATTCTCAACTTATCCCAGATTTGGTCCATGGGAGCTCCTTCAAGCTGACATTTGTGCCCTGTTGACCTGTCTCCCATTGTTTTTTGGGTTTTTTTTTTTTTTTTTTTTTTAGCATTTCTTTACTTTCTGGCTCAACAAAATGAACCAGGACTATCTGGATCTTTCCTTACCCCAACCATGGCATGACCCACTTCCCTAAGGAGCCCTGGTCCCTTTGAGTGTAGAGTATCTCTGGCCTTTGCATACTCCCAACTTCTGCTCAGAACTGCCTCTCCCTGGCCACCTACCACTTTCACCCTGCCCAATGAAGGATGAAGGAAAGATGAAGAATAATACATATTTTTTAAAGAAAGGAAAATAAAGGAGGGGGAGGAGGAAGAGAAAGATCTCTTTATATATGTATGTTTAACTCTCCCTCACCCTAGTTTTTCCAAAGATTAGATTTAGTTTCATGTGGTCATGCCGATTACTGAAGTGATTACCTTTTATGTGGTTGAGAATGTGAAACTTTTCAAGAGCAAAATCACTCATCGACCATTTATTGAGTCCTACTATGTGTATGCCTGATATTATACTACTTACTCATAGTGCACAGCCCCAGCCGTCTATGAGGTAGAATGACAGTAAGATGTCCTAAGGTTTATAGCTGGTGTAGCCTCAAAGCCTGCAGCTTGCAGATGCAGGCACCACCTGTGTCTGGTCAAGGAAGGGGAATCAGAAGTCAGGAAGACTTCCCAAAGGTGCCTAGAATGAAGTGAGTTTAGAGGTAGGACTCGGCTAGTTGGACAAAGAAAGGAAGGATATTTCACAGAAAGAAGAACATGCTAAAACTTAGAGAGATTTGGCAGACTTGAGGAATGAGAGGTTGTTTGACCAGGTCAGAAGCACTTGTTTCTTTGTCTTCTTGAACCTTTTTTTTTTTTTGTAAGAAAGCACAGTTGTTCTTTTTTGTAGTCAGTCTTGCCTATTCCAGGCCACCATCCCAGAGTTCCAGTTCTGTGACTGAACACTATTGCAATGTCGCATTGCAGACATTGTAGTGTCTTCCCTCAGAAGAAGTAATCTTTCTCTCAAGAAAAGAGGAAGTAGAATTAGCGGACATTTTACCAAAGAAAGATAAAACATTTTTTCATAGTCTTTTTGGGTCGGCTTTTGTCACTAAAATTTTTTCAATTCTTACCTCTAGGGGATTCTTTCCTCTTTTGAACATGGCCCCAATCTGATCCAAACAAATTGTTCTTGTTGCCTTTACCCATAAGCAGATGCATTAGGTTGGTGATAGTAGTTTAATCTTGATCTTTTGATTGTTTTTTTATCATCAACAGGTGTCACATTTATTACTTTGAATGATATTTTGAAATTGATGATTTTGTTTTAGTTCATGGTAGTTATGTTTGTCCTATATCTAATCCAGAGTTTCCTTTAAGATATGTTAATTGTGTAAAAGTTATGCTCTAGGAATAGAGCAATTGTGTAAAAACTGTTGCTTTTAAACATGCTTCTCACATGGCTGTTTTTATATTTTGCAGACGATACCAGAAATTGCAGAAGATTATGAAGCCTTGGTAAGAATATATGATCAATTGGTATTGATGATTTAACACTTCCTTCTTCTTTGCATAATTTAATTCTGTCCTCTGACTGATTGTGTAACTATGCATCTTGATATTTTAAGTAATTTTTTTTTTTTGCTTTCTGCTTGATGTTCTTATATAAAGAGATTCTTTAAAAATTTTTCTCTCTTTTTTGGCAGCATAAAGGGTATTCTATGTTTGTAACCACTACAGGATTGCCACCCTATCCCTAGAGCAATGCTAGGCATAATTTTATGTATTACTTTAAACAAAACTTTCTTTTTTGTGGTATAGGTGATGTTCAAAGTCAAAAGTCTTTGATTTTCTTCAATGACTCAAGAAGAAAAAGATTCACATTTTAAAAAGTATTCAGAATTGAAGTATGGAAGGAAAATTATTTACTTTGCATTTGAGAAAGTGCTTGATCAGCTATCTGTTACGTGAATTGCATGCTAATTGTGTTTGAAGATCTCAGAGCTTCTTTCTTAGCATTTTCCCTTCTCACTGCCTTTCTTATCCACTAAATAGGGTGAGTCTAAAAATGGTCTAACAAATTCTTTGAAGTAGGCTGAACAAATTTCTACAATGCCAAGCTGTTAAGCAAATAATTTCAGTTTGAGAAGGAAGACTGAAGAGCATTTCAATTTTGTAAGCCCTCAGAGAAAATCCTTATCACCTTTAATCCACTGTATACAGTATTAGACTAGTCTTAAGTCATTCACCTTCCTCTACCCCCTTACATATAGACAAAGCATTAGCTGCAGGGACTCTTCTGTTTATTAAATTCTAATAAAATAGAAAGCAATATTGAGTTTCCAGGGTAAAGCTTCTTAAATTTTATTTTGATATATTTAATAAAACAGAAGCACTTAATGGTAATGGCAGTAGAGGACTTTTTTTTTTTTTTGAGTTGGAATCTCACTCTGTCGCCCAGACTGGAGTGCAGTGGCCGCTCCCGACCACCGCAGCCTCGACCTGCTGGGCTCCAGCGATCCTTCTGCCTCAGCCTTCTGAGTCGCTGGAATTACAGGCGCGCACTACCATGCCCGGCTAATTTTTTTTTTTATTTATTGTAGAGATGAGGTCTCGCCTGCCTGGGCGGGTCTCAAACCCACAGGCTCAGGCAATCCACTCACCTCAGCCTCCCAAAGGCGCGGGATTACAGGCTGAGCCACCGAGCCCGGCTGAGGACATTTTTTTAATGAGAGTTAGTCCCCGGCACTGTCTAAATGTTTACACTCATTATTTCTATTCTCCACTTATATCCAACATACAAGATTAGTATTTCCTGGGTTTAAGAAGTTAAAATCAGATGGAGGAGCTGAGGTTCAAACCTATTTTCTTTTCATACAGTTTGCTAATGTAGAGGAATTTTGGACCGAAGGCAAAATAATTTTTAAAAAATTTGTCTGTTAACAGTTTTAATCGTTTGGTATATAGGGATACTAGACACTTTGGGATTATGATTTTCATTTATTAATCGTAGACAAAATGCATTGGTTACTCCTTCTGCTAATAATAGAGTAGCACAGTTAGACTAACAGAGATAGCAGTTATAAAATCTGGACAAAATATTATAAACAAATCATAAAAAAGCAACTGTTGGAAGGCACTGGATAGCAACTTAAAGCAGGCAGAAAGTGGAAGAAAATCAACCCTTGAGAGAACAGATGAGTTTTGGATGAGATTTGTGTGTTTGCAGCTTTTTGCCTTGAGAACACCTACTCATGCAGGTAGCATGAAGTGGCAGAAAGCCTTGGTCTTAGTCCAATACTAAGAGTATAGTTTGGAGCTGGCAGAGCAGCTGAATTCTTGGGGGAATCTACGAAAGAAGGAAAGCTCAGAGGGTGTGAGTCCTTACATATAAACTCTTCCCAGATCCACTGGTGATCTCTGAAGTATGGCTGCACATGTGTGTGTGTGTAAATTCCAAGGACCTAGTAAAAGCAGCAACTGGAAATAACTGCCATGTTTGAGCAGAGATGTCAGCTGTCATTCACTGCAGTTTTGAGTTTGATTAACTTCCTACTAGAACAAAAAATCAGTACTCTTCAAAGGAACAAAACTGACTTCTGAGCCTTGACAATATTTTATTCACAATGTCCAATATACAGCAAAAATTTACCAGGTATATGAGGAAATAGGAAAAGATGACTCATAGTTAAGAAAAAACAGAAGGTAGTAGAAACTGACCCTGAGATAATTCACATGTCGGAATTAGTAGATGAATATTTTAAAACAACTTTTGTAAATATATCAAAAGACTAAACTAAAGTATGAGTATAAAAGTGCACAGATGGGGAGTCTTAACAGAAAAAGTGGAAACAATAACCAAATATAAATTATAAAACAGAATGTACAGTAGACAAAATGAAAAAAATTACTGTATAGAGTTGAAGATGTCAGAAGACACATAACCTTCAAAATATATCAGTATAAATTACCCAATCTGAAAAGCAGATGCAATGAATAGTGAGTACTTGACCTGTGAGATAGTAACTGATCCAAAATACATTTAATTGGAGTCTCAAAAGGAGAGAAAAAATTGGGGGGACAGAAAAATATTTGAATAAATAATTATAGAAGAAAATCATTATGGAGAAATAGGAAATAAGTTCTTTATACTGAAGGGATATGATACTAGGTAGAAATTAAAATCTATAGGAAAGGATAAAAAACATAAAATTGTAAATATATGGGTAAATACAAAAGACAAAATGTAGTCGTTTTCTTTCAAACTTCTTTAAGAGACATATAACTATATAAAGCAAAAATTATAATACTGTTTGTAAAGTTTTTGACATATTTACATGTAATATATATGAAAATAAGAGCAAAAAGGATGGGGAAGGAAAAGAAACTACACTATGGCAAGCTTCTTACTGTTTAATCTTCCCTTTAAATAATATGTTAATGGTGTACGTTGTAATATATAGGTAGAGTCACAACTAAAAAATTAATGCAAAGAAGCATAGGTCAAAGTCCAAAGGAAAAATTAAGTTGGACTGCTAAAAAATATTTGATTAACCCAAAAGAAGGTAAGAAAAGAGAAACAAAGAACAAAACATAGTTAGATCAAATGAAAAACAAGTTGGATGACATAAATCTAACCGTATCAATACATTAAATGTAGATAGATTAAACAATCCAGTTAAACAGCTTAGATTGTTAGAGCAAATTTAAAAAGCATGACTCAGATCTGTGCTGTTTACAAAATATATGCTATAAATGCAAGATCACATGTAGTTTGAAAGTAGAAGGATGCAAAAAAACATATACTACACAAATACTACTACTAATAATGCAACTGAGTAATTTGATATCAAGAAAAATAAGACTTGAAGACAATATGGTATCAGAGATAAAGAGTAATAATTATTAATAAAAGTGGTCAATTCATCAGGAAGACATAAAAATGTCAAATATAGGACAGGCACGGTGGCTTAAGCCTGTATTCCCAGCACTTTGGGAGGCTGAGGTGAGCGGACTGCCTGAGCCCATGGTTTGAGAACAGCTTGAGCAACTTGGCGAGACCTCATCTCTACAATTAAAAAAATAAAAAATAAAAAATAAATAAGCCAAGCATGGTAGTACATGTCTGTATTTCCGATACTTAGACAGCTGAGGCGGAGGGATCACCTGAGCCCAGCAGGTCAACGCTGGGGTGGCTGTGAGCATGCCACTGTACTCCAGCCTGGGCAACGGAGTGAGACTCCAACTCAAAAAAATTTTTTTAAATGTATATGTACCTAATAATAAGCCCTCAAAGTACATGAAGCAAAAACTGACAACTAGAAAGAAAAATAGACAAATCCATTTCCATTATCATAGTTGTAGATTTTAAAACTACTCTCTCCTAACTGATAGGAAAACCAGGCAAAATCAGTAAGGATATGTGCCTGATAAACATTCTTTTTTTTTTTTTTCCGAGAAAGCAGGATATATTGAGAGGACAGAAAAGCTCTCACAGTGGGAGGGGACCCAAAAGTGTTGCCATGATCAACATTCTTAAAGGTCTTGTCTTAACTGTTATTTATAAACCATCATACCCAACAACAGGAGAATACGAGGGGGGACCCCAAAAACCCTGGAATTGTCCTTTGGAAGGTGGGCCTCTTGTAGTACAAACTTCCTCTGCTAGGTAAGTGTGCTAGGAACCCATTGGCATCAGTGTACCAGTTAGTGTTGTTGTGAGAAGCTGTGTTCTGCTTCTGTGAAATTTTTTTTGAATATTTTTTTCAATGCGTTTGCCCATTTCATGATAGGTGATTTATGAGCATACCTGTCCTCACCATACTGAGTGTTCAGCAGCGTTTGACCAAAAGCAGTATAAACCCTGCCCCTCTTTCCCTATTCACCTGATTTCACCCAAAGTAACTTTTTTTGTGTTTCCCTGAATGAAAAAAATCCTTAGAGGGAAATGTTTTGACAGTGTGAAAGAGGTGAAAGAAAAATTGGCAGAAGCTCTAAAAGGCATCAACATTGATGAGTTCAGAAACTGTTTTGAGCAGTGGAAAAAGGATCTCAATAGGTATATTGCATCAAACAAAGAGTACTTTGAAAATGACTGAAGTTCAAACATGTAAGAATAAATACACAATTTTTTTTTTTTTTTGGAGAAAGCAGGATATATTGAGAGGACAGAAAAGTTCCCACAGTGGGAAAAGACCTAAGGGGGTTGCCCAATACACAATTTTTTATAAATAAATTCCCAGGGCTTTTTTGAGTCCCTTCTCATACGTACATTATTTTGAAGTGAACATGGACTGTTTATCAAGATAGGTTATATGTTGGGCCATAGTACGTCTAAAGAATTTTCAAATAATTGAAATTATACAGATTATGTTTTTTGATCACAAGGAAATTAGGTTAGAAGTCAATAACAATAAAATAGCTAAAAAGTCTCAGATGTTTGGAAATTAGAAAACACACTTCCATATTATCCAGGAGTCAAGGAATAACCCAGTTGAAATCACAAAATATTTTAAGCT